CCTCACACAGCGCCCGGCGGCCTCCGGGCAGAGGGGCCGCGCTCCCGGCTGAGGGGTGGCGGCCTTGGCTCCCGCCGTGGTGCGGGCCGCCCCAGGAGCATCCCTCCAGCCTCCTCCTTCGAGGTTGGGGGGTGGGCGGCTCCGTTGGTGCCCGGGGCGAGGGGCAGGGTATAATGTCCCCCTGGGATGCGGGTTGGGGTGAGGGGTGGGCAGGGAATGTGTCCCCCCGTGGGGACAAGCCTGAGGGGAGGCAGTGGGTGCAGCTGCGCTGAGTTTACTCCTGACCGAATACAGGCTCACGAGATTCTTGGTTTTTCTCTCTTTTTTTTTTTTTTTTTTCCCTCCACATTCCTCTGCTCAGCCTTACCGGAGGTGGGCAGGCAGGGGGTCCGCGCCGGGGTTACGCTGGGCCACTCTCCCCGCTGCAAACAGGAACCTCCAGCAATGCTAAACAAATCAGGCTGCCAAGGGTTTTTTTTTTTTTTTTTTCTTTTCTTTTTTTTTTTTTTTTTTTTTCCCTCCACGTCCCATCAGGACCAGACCCCATCTGATATGGTGAGCAGCAGCACCAGGAGAGGGGAGAGGAGTTGGGAGGTGAGGTGCGGCAGGGGCACAGCAGGAGGGGTGGTGGGCACCCACAGCACCTGCTACAGCCAGAGTCACCAAGGAGAAGCCAGCATCCGAGAGAGGGTGGTGCTGCCACCCAGAGAAGGGGAGCAGAGGGAGGGTGGTGAGGGCTCTGATCTGCTCTAACTTACACACAGAGGGTGCTTAGACAGCCTTTCGGTACGCACAGTTGTACTGTGGTACGGCTGTGTGCAGTTGTACACAAAATTGCTTTCGTCCAAAGGCATGAAACAAAACAAAGCACGTGAAAGGAAGGAAGTGGCATCAGCGCTCTGCAGCCAGGAGAGCGCTGGAGAAAGGGGACCTGTGACATCCCGCGACGCTGCGCAGGATGTCTGTGGTAGGGCCAGCCAGAGCTCTTGTTTTCTCGCTTCCAGTTTAGGAGATTCACCACCCTCCTTTTGCTCATTCCCTTTGCCACAGTCAAAGAGCATAAAGCAACAAAACGCCTTCTATCGAGCAAAAGACAAAGAAATGCAACCATCCAAAACCCAAGCCAGAGTGCATCTGGCTTGGGATGAATACTGGACCACATTAGCTGGGAGTGAGGATTTTTCAGAAAGCCAGGCTCCAGTCAAAAATGGACCCTGTCATTCGGAGTCTGAATATAAAAACAGCTTGCAAAACATTTTTTCAGGCTTCTAACAAAAGAGTTGGTCCTTCTTTTGCTCTGGTATCTAGGCTACATTGTGCGGGCTCATGCATATCACTGGTTTTATCCACATGAGTAATTCCATTTGAATTTGGAGCGACAACGTGTATGTGTAAAGTTACTCATATGCTTTCTGTCTCCTTTATATATTGAAATTATGTGGGTTTGGTTTTTTTCCATTTGCTGGTGCAGCCCAGTAACTTGGCATCAAGATTACTGTGAACCACCACGGTTGTTATTACTGTTTGCCCGCCTGACACCTTTGTTTTCCTTGCCAGGCTAAAATCCAGCTATTCCTCTCTATGCAATCTATTCCAGCTATGCAATTGTATCATCATCAGTTTTTATGCAAGCATCTTTCACCTGACTGTGTAAATTCATCTTCCCTATAAAAGATCCTTTTTGTACTCAGTTTTTTCCCCAGTCATTACTGACAGTCTTCCCAGTTGTGTCACCTGATTCTTTCTCACGCGAGTCTCCCATGACTTCTCCCATACTGTGTAATCTAAATTCATACTGATTCTAACATGATATCTGGATGTTTTAATATTTGCCAGCTGGAACATTTTATTATTCTCATTGCCAAATGCCCTCTATTTCCTCCCTCATATTTCTTGAAGCGGCAGCTTCTGCTATTCTCATAGCCTTGTTTGTCTTCTCTACCCCACTGCTCCATGTTTGTCTAAAGGCAAAATGTCTTGGGGACAAGAAAAACACATTGTCTATCTTCCCTGAAGTGTGGCATTAAGTTGTAAGTGTGGCTGAATGTTTTATTAGATGTTCTTTTTCCTCAGTCAAGGAATATAAAGAACAAAGAAGTAAAATTCAGTGCATCCTTTTTTTCCTATGGAAGATAATAGCTTTTCACTGATATACTCTCAGCTGTCAAGTATAGACTATAGTACTCTTAATTCGTGCCTGAGGAGAGTAGGCAGACTGGGCAGCTACTGACTCTTTTGTCAACCAGAGTCTTTCTTTCTAACCTAGAAGATTTTGTCAATTAGTGCAAGTAGAGTCTCCCTTAGGAAATAAAGTATTTTGAAGTTGCTTCAACAGCAGGTCGTGAGCTGTCAGGAAGATGCATTCAGTCACACCTAAGTACGGATTTATTACATTGAATCTGCAGGGCATTTACCTACTGTATCTTGAAAGAATCCAACTAGTAATTTTTTTCTGAAATCCCCAAAATGATGCCTTCTAGGATTGTTGAAGACTGCTATTTCTGGGGGGAAGGGGTGATGACCCATGTATTGGAATGACCTGTTTCCAGTGGTGACGGTGCAAATTACTTCCAAGGAAAGGGTCAAAGGCCAAATACATCTTAGACTGCCCTGTGAACATGGGAGGAGTTTCTTATTTCTTTTACCTTGAAGTGCGAGAACCAGGAACTGTGTTTTCTCTCTCTGCCATATCTAGAACTTGAAAAATTACCTGTTTGTCTCAGCTAATGTCCAAAGAGCCATCTTGCTGCAGTGATGCTTTACAGGCAGAGTGTCTATCCCAGTGACATCCCACAACAGAGAACGAGCTCTTGACATGCCCATGGATGGGGTCAGCAGCATGACCTTAAATAAGATTTGAAAAGCCAATTAGATTTTTGTAGTAAATACTCTATTAAGGACCAAAAATAAATAAAACCCATACACGCTTGCATTTATTATCAGCATGAGCTTAGGATTGGGTGTGGCTGCTGCACTGGATTTATATGTCCATTACGTGCTGTACTTGTGCCACAGACCCTCCTGAAATACACAGCTGTATTTCTCAGAAACTTCACTCAAAATTGGGTTGTAGTCAAATGATTAATTGCAGTTCTGGAAGTCATAATTAACATATTACCTTGGGAGATCTACTATTCAAAACTACATATATGTATAATTTTTTTATTTTATTTTTTTAAAATTAAAAAGCCTTATTCTTCTCAAAAAAAGCCCCTAAACAACAACAAAAACACCAAATCCCAAAGAACTAAATTTTTCATTTACTAAGGAAAATAAGGTGTGAAAGTAAAGTAATATAGACACTTATTTTTTTGTTTGTACTGTAAGACTTACTTTAATGCAGTGGCAAAGGCAATTTCCTGATTGATATACTAGAGATGCAACAACCTGAGAGATATTTTAAGTACTGAATTTCTAGTATGCAGAACCCCCACCACCACTACATTTGAGAAATAGACTAAATATTTACTGTGTTGCCCTAAACCAAGTTGTATTTGTTTACTTAAAAATTGGAAATATACCTAGCACATAGAAAATACAACTGGATATATTTATACTTCCTTATTTAATAAATTCTTATATTTTGCTACTTAGGAACTCTTTGTAAAAGAGATCGACTAGTGTTACACAGTAATGAACATAAAGGGTTTATTTTCTGGGCAAAAGCTTCTAGAAAAAAAAAACAAAAGAGAATGATGTCAATTTTCAAAATTTAATTTTGCAATTATATGCAAACATATAAATCTATTCTGAAATTGTGAAATTAGAGCTTTAATATTAAAGTGATCTGAATTAAAGAAACACGATACCTTATCTGTAGAGCTCCAGAAAGAGCAGACAGCTGTTCACGAGGAGAGGTTTGTGACGCTCTTCTCTGTTTTGCAGTAAAGATGCTGATGCCCTTGGAGATCTGGGACTGCACACTCCAGAAGTAGTAGCTAAATCTATAGGTTTACAGTATATATAGAAACAGTAATTATACATGATTGATTGTTTTAAAAGAATTACCTCCTTTGAAATAGCTGTTCAGGACAGAAAGCATTCTGAAGCTCTGAAATACAACAGTGATAATGTTTAAGAATACTACCCAAAACCTGTTAAAATTCAAATAAGTTACTCAACATAAAAGCCTTTCATATTTTCTGTAATTTTCAGCATGTGCACTCTAAGCTTTATAAAGTCAACAGGAGTGTTATTGTTTTGCTTGGAAGCACCTGTCCTGAAACCAGGATTGAGCTGTGTCCCCTGTTTTGATTTGTCGTTTTACAAATCCTCTTTCCATCCTTCAGCTTCCCCCTGTGAGAACAAACACCATTTTCCATCTCCTTCCTTTTGTCTTGACTACTTCAGTTGTAAGGTCAGTCATGTAGGAACTGCATGTTTTACAACCCGTAGCAAAGCAAGGCCCTTACTTCAATTCAGAATCGTAATAATAGAGAGGTACTACAGATACCCTATATTCTTAGGGCCTTTACAGTCTTTCAGGTTGAAATTCTGAAGCTGAGCATCTCTGAGAATTAGTTCCTGTATTTTGCAGGAAAAAAGCCCACACAAACCCACCCTAGAAACAGTTCATTATAACTTGAATTTACGAAATAATAAAATGGCAAACCTGAAGAAACTAAAATGTATGACACATTGTAAAGCATTGCAAGTAAATGTGATATACTGAAAAAAATCTTTACCCTTTAAACTATTCTAAACAAAGTGGGTTTTTAAAAATTTTGTAACTGCCTTGTAAGTTTTCAGTCAAAGTTTCCTCCTTATTCATGCAGGCAGCCCCACTGAAACGAACATTACAGCAAAACCACCACTAAAGCAAAGGTTTCTAAGAGAAGTAGAATCTATTTTTGAAGAGCAGTAAAACATCAAGTTGCCTAATGAGAAAATACAGTGTTCTGCATGGAAAGGTTCAAGGGTTGAGTTCAGGAAACTGGGTCATTAACAAAAAAACCCCACAACCGAAAAAAGATTTCTACTGTTTTTCCCCCCAATGTGAGTGGTTTCATATCTCATTATATTTTGAAAAGCTTGGTCCTTTTAAGTCTGAAACTTTTCTGAGTATATTGAAAACAGATGGAAATGAATCAGGGGACCAAGGTAGAAAAAAGCTTTAATGAAGATCTACTTAAGTAATACTTTAAATAAATAAATCATTTGTCTAAGAAACCACATCTAATAGAAATGTAAATAATTATATAACGAACATATAAACTACATTTCCTGAAGTAATTCCTGTCTTTCTACATTTCCTCAATTATTTGTATTATGAAACAGTAGTGTGGCGCCATTAATTGATAAGCACTGTGCTATAGTTACCACGCTAATTACAGCTCTTTAGGTCCTCGTCTCACAGCTCCTCCAGTCATTTAACAATTGGGATTGATTGCACAGGAGCTATTTTTAGGATGAAATGGCAGAAGAGTTTGGAGAGCAGCAGCCATTTTTTTTTGTGTGCTACAGCTGTTTTAGAAAAAAAAAAAAAAAAGTTGGATAAAAATGCTTGAGTTGTCTTTTTGGGTTTGGTTTTTTTTTTTTTTTTAAATTCTGCTGAAGTTAGAGCTTCCTATTGGATAATTGATCTTCCTTGTACGAAGTTGAAGCTGAGGTCAGTGTTGCATGACACAGAGGATATTGCTCAGTGACATTGTTCTGTGAAGAGCAGCAGTTTTCCGTTGCAAACAGAGGCGTTAAGGTGGACGGTAGATGAACTTTGGTGAGTCTAGTTCTAGAGAAAGGCGATACAGGAGTCAAGTTTGTAGTGCAAATACCAGTGATGAAAGGCAAGATTCCAGATCAACTTCGAAGGTACTTTTCTCCCAACTCTGAAAGGAAGCAGTTTAGTTAACTGATCTGTTTAAGTGATTGAAGGTCACTTCCAAGAATGCCTTATGCTGAGAGAGTAAATGGCCGCGATTCACAGGGGTCAGTTGATGCTCAGAAGGTGTGACTGGGAGGAGACACCCATGCCGTTAATCCCAGATTGGCCTTTTGTTATCCATCCCATCCTGCTCACCTGCCTTACAGAGTTCAGCTGGGGTAGATAAACAAGTGGACAGGATTTTGTCACTAATCAACTATATGAAATCAGGGCTGTCTTCTCTGAGCGTTTGCATAATAGGAGGCAAGGTTGGTAGGAAGAATAACAAAAAGAAATATGCAGGAAGAGGAATAACCAGTTTTATAGCTGGGAAAAAATCCAAAACTCAAGGGGACAAGCCCATTTTACCTTTGTAAAGTATTAATAACAGAGACCTATCACCTTTTTGACATTAAATTAGATCAATAATAGTAATACCTTGCTACTGTCACACAGCACTGCATCAGCAAATTTGAAGTGTTTTACTAAGGAGGTGTCTTTGTCCCCATTTAAGCTGTGGAAGTAAATAGATGAATTGGCCACAGTTACACAGAAGCTTTGGCGGAATTAGGGACAGAATCTGTGTTTCATGACTTCAGCTGCTTTTCCCTTTTCAATGGCAAGCCATAAAGACCTACACACCTATAGTGCGTCACTACTTCACAGCCACTAATTCCCCTGGAAAGGAGAAATGCACACCTTTGCAAACGCTGCCAATCTTGTATGCTTTCAGACAAAGCACAAAAAGGACATACTTCAGTTTTCTGCAGTAACAGTTTATATGACTGGCTTGCATTAAAAAAATTAAGACAATTTGAATAGCTAGGCATGCCAGAATATGCCGCAAGAGGTTCTCTAGCATGTTTTTGTCACTAAGTCTATTCCAGTCTTACAAATGGTACATTTTACAGATAAATTGGATGACAAATTATATTAGATACACGTATTTCATATTAATATGAAATTTGAAGATATCTTCTGTATATTGTTTTAGTGTCATTTTTGTTTTTCCTTAAATTATGTGCAACTCCCCCTGGACTTCTCTGTCAGCACCTGAAAATAGGGATGCAGTAAGGATTCATCTTGTAAACACTTCCTGGGTGAAAATACAGACTTACACCTTTTGCATCTCACTGTAGCATGTTTATGGACATACAAACTGTTTTTACGGAAATCTCTTAAAATATTTATTTTTCTTCTGTAGCTAACCATTCATCAGTGAATCCAAGACAACATTAGTCGTTCCTTTTTATAACATGTAAACTTTTGATAGCGATCTAGATACTTGGTACATCCCTCCCTATCCTGGAATCAGATATGCACAGGGCGAGCAGTTCTTATTTGGCCTTCACTGGCATATATATGGCTAAATTTAATTTTACACAATGAACTTCAAGGCACAGTTCAATGTCTTGAGTTATATGTTGGCAATGCATAGAGTAAAAATACCTGCATTGTAGATCTGAGGGAGAAGCCTTCATTTAATCTAAACTGGTCATTGCTGTATTTCTAAGTAACTGTTCTGGCCTAAAGAAAGTTTTAATTACCGTTTGTGGGAAACAATTTACATTTCAAACTTTACCAGGCAGTGGTTTCTGACCTGACAGCAGCATTGCTGCTTTTGTGTAGTGTCCTTGCGAACTAACCTGGGAAACTAAAACTTTAAATCTCAGGCATCTCTTCAGAGGAGGTAGCCTTTGAGTGCTGCGCAGGGGCTGCTCTGGAGAATGCACTGGGCACTCGCAGGCTGAAGAGCCCGATGCACCGAGCTGGAGGTTGGTGGGTGGCCCCAGTGCCTCCTGCACTCCTGCTCGTCACCGGGCTCTGTAAGAGCTTTGTTATTCTCACCCCATCTCTGAAGAGATGGAGGGAAAATTTACAGCTTTGTCACTGCTTTGCTCGGGAAGGCTGTGGGCAGCAGCTGTAATGAAAGTTCTCTGCAGATGTAAATGGTTTTATCACTGTACATCCAGGGCAAATTTAGTGTGTCTGCTGCTGTTTGGGTTTGTTGCTTTGGGGTTTTTGGTTGGTTGGTTGATTTGTTTTTAATTAGAAACAACTGGGCCAAGTAGGCATTGGTTTATCGCATTTATCTTGGAAGTAGTCTCAAATCCAAAGAATGGATTTGCTGCATGATCATTATGTTGAGCTGAGAGTTATATGACTTTATATTATGTCATAATACATGAGAGTTATGTGACTGGGATGCTTGTACTTAAAACTAGAGAAGTGAAGCATAGAACTGTGGAAGGACAGGGGTTATTTTGCAGTACCGAAGAGTTCACAGTGTGTCCATACTGACAGACTGTTACCTGTCAGTTTCCATCCTGTGTCCTCAATAGGGCTGGAATCTGGCTTTCGCTGAAATACTTGTCGCCTCATTTGGTGACCTGTCTCACCTCAGGCATGTTACCAGTGCAAATCCCAGAATTTGGCCTAATGCTGATTTATTTATTATTTTTTAGTGCTTCATAAAATTATTTACTTTAAAATATATCATGGTCAGGGCTTTGAAGTGGACTAATAGAGGAATATTGTTCCTGGAACTTCTGTCTTCACAGAACACAGTGACATCTTGTGGCAAAAGAAGGGATAGTGTCATTTTTTCCAACACATCCTAATTTCAGCTGTTTTACAGATGAAAGTAAAATTCTGGACAACTGTTAATGCATTTTGCTTGAAGTACAAGTTTGTTTAAGTACTTTTTCATAGTGAAAAAAAAAAGCCTTGGTTTCTACCATATCGCAAGTGTAGAGTATTGCAGTTTATTACTTCGGCTCACTGATGTTCTGTGGAAAACACTTAGCTCCAGGAATGTTCCTGTCCCTGTCCTGCTGGTATAAGAGTCTGAGAGTCAGCACTGAAAATGCTTTACCCAAGTTAGTGGATTATCACAGATGCCCAAAATTGTCAGGTTGCTTTTGATAAGAATGAAAAGCAAACACAGTAACTTTTTATCATAAGACAGAGAGTTTTCTTTTTTTCTATCTTTTCATTTTCCTTTTCTTGAAACCTGAAACTACTTTTTTTTTGTCTTTTTACAGACCAAACAGGGTTTAAGCTCTGTCCCTGATGTGTTGGGACCCTCCCCTGATATGGTCCCTTGCAGTTGATATTTGGATACAATCCAGTTGTCAGCATGAAAGGAAAAACTGCACACTGTGATTGGAAATCTGCACCCCAAAAGAAGCCCACTCCCTGCGATCGATACAAACACGCTTGCATTATTTGCAGAGGATTTCTTTATCTCTACGGAGGGCGGAACACCACCAGCCTTAGGGATTTCTGGCGATACGATATGGGTAAGTTTGACCCTTTACTTGTATGTCAGGATTAAAGATTCTCCATCCAGGCATCATGAAATAGGGCGTTCTCCATAGTTAACAGATTATCCCCATTTAAAGCCCCTCCATTAAAATGCTGGATAAACTGCATTTTGTTCATTGGGCAAACAGTTTGTGTTTGTTCCTGGTGCAAGTGTCCCAGAAAGTTTGTATTTTGATTCAGGTTTGTGGGGTTTTTTTTGGTTTTTTGTTTTGTTTTGTTTTTTAACCAGTAATACTGAATCATTTAAAATATCCTAGTTCTAGCAAGGGATATAGAAAATATAGCTTTATTGACTCTTTAACATGGGAATAGTTTATGCATGTAAAAGTGGACAGGGGGAACACATGAATAAAATAATGTGTAAGATTGTATTCATAACACTATCAAATGCACTATCAAATATGATACTGTATTTTTTGACTGAATGTATGGTGTTCCCTGTTTAATTGTTGTTACTGGAATAAAACATAAAATTGTGCTGGGGTTCGTGCTCATGGAATAGTTGGGTTTTGATGTACGTAACAGTATGGCATTAAAATAAAAGCAGTAAGACAACCAATTTCTATTACATTTAAGCTCGCTAAATAGAAAAATGCACATATTTAATTTCGAGGGAAGTGCCTCAGTCTTCTGAACTAACAGAGGGGAAAGATGACAAAACACCTCATTTTCCTCCATTGACTCTGGCAGTGCAGCCAATTCAAAGCTGATCTTTTCACCTTTTCCCTAATGTTTATGTGTTGAGTGCATCGCTGTCTTAACTTCAACTTTGATTTGTAGTGAAAAATGAATGGGAAATGCTGGATTGCTCAAGAGATGCTCCAGAAGAACTGGAAGAACATTCAATGGTGGCTTATAAGGTAGTAGACCAAGATTGATACTGTCCGTATCCTAACATTTTATTTCCTGCTATACAATGAAATAAAATGCCATAGATTATTATCTACTGACATACTGTGCCCAGAAAACACTTATGTCAGTGCAATTAGGGACATAGCTGTACCAATGTTTTGGAATCTTTCTGAATAAAGTGACAGTATTTTAGCTTTGCAGCAGTGTGCATCTCCCTGATTTCCTCTGTCGATGCTCAGTACATCATAGTAATACAAAATAAAGACTTTGGCAGCACATTCTTTACTTAGTTGTATAGTTGTAACAGTTGCTCTGAATTCATTTGCATGATAAGCTACAGCATAAAAACATTCACATAAGAAGGTGCATAGAAGAAGGATGGGGAAGTGAAGACAACTAAGAATTACAGCTTTGCCTGTGAGGGGAAAGCAGAATTTAGGATATCAGGAGCTGCGATGCAGTGAAATCTTTCTACAAACATGGATAATTTAATATTACCTGAGTGATGCCTCTGAGAGCTCCAGATCCGCATCCCCCAAGCTGTCCCAGATTGAGGAGGAAGTGAGTGGCTCTGGAATGCCATCCCCCTTCAAACAGCACAACCTTCGTCAGGGTTTCCACTGGGAGAGGATAAAGACACAATTAAAAGTTGGTGGCTTTTTGCAGTTGCCTCTTCAATTGTTTATAGATCATCATATGCATTATTGTTACTTATATTTTGGTGATGGCAGCCTTTTCCTTTAAGAATTGTTTTAAAAATTATTTTTATGTTATATGCCTACCTGTAAGTGACAAATATTTTTGCATTTTGCAGGGCACCCTGTATATTTTTGGTGGGATGGTGGATTCTGCTTTCACGCAAGCAAAAACTCCTCTCTGGATGTATGACATTGGTACGATACACAATAGCCAGTCTCTTCCAAGTCTATAGGTACTAATAAATAGTAAGAACCAAACTGTTTTCTGCCGCTTGTAACATAGCCTTCCCTAGGCTTTCCAAGAAGTAATGTGTGTAAAACTGTGTGCATATTTTACCTCTAAAATTAGGCTGTTAATCTATCAAAGACTCAGCTTTTACTTTAATTAGAAATTATTTTATGGGAAAGTTTTATGTATTTTAAGGTCTCAGAATTTCCATTCCTCCCTCCCCAAAATTTACTATTTGATCATAAAACCCAATAATTATTGCATATAATATTTGAAATATTTTCCTTATGTTACATAAAATTTTAAAACTGAGCTTTTTTTTATTATGGAAGAAAGTAGATCAGTAAAGTATATCTCATTTTGAAATTTAATGGAAGAAATACATAAACAGACAACAGCAATGATGGATCTGGGAAAAAAAAAGTAGAATTAAATAAGAAGTTGGGAAAGTAACACCAGCATTTCATAACACAGGGTTGTTTTTTTCCTAAGAACAGACATTTGGGATCTTTTAAGTATGCATTCTAATAAAAGCAGTGCAACACTTGAATTGAATAGCAATGTCATATGCTATATATTCTTTTGGAAACACTGTGTGTAGTAATGGCTGCTTATTTTGATGTCTGATGAAAAGGAGAGAGAGACTGATTTCTTTTGGAGCCAGAAAGTCCTGTGGCAAGACCAGGATTTAAGTTTCACGGCCTCTTTTGCTACTTCACTGTGTAACCTTAAGTAAATGGGTGTTGTTTTAATCCTTTATTGGTTTTCCGCCATTTTTCTAAAATACTTAACTGCTGGAAGAACAGAGATCTGCAGATAGAATACATTTCATAGGAGAAAGCATCTTGCTATTCACAGTACTTATCAGTGAAAATTGGGAATTAGTTAGCTGTTCAAAATTTGTTGTGTGGCTTGTTCTTTTGTGGTCATTATTTAAAATCTTTCCTGGCAAGTGTAGGTTTAATTAATGTAAGTTTGTGCTGCTTTCTCGGTCTACCTCTGATGCTGGGTATCTGGTATTTCTGCTCCTTCATGGTGATCACAGATCAGATTTTTGACTGTTATTTGAGGACTGCTATTTTAAGGGATCTGTGAAAAGCAGCAAGAAAAATAAGGCTGTTGTCATAAGGTTTACATAATAAACAGAAGAAGCCGTATATCCATCGGTAAATCTGGGGATTCTGCAAGTTTGGAAAATGCTGAAAATCACAGATTATTTCTGCATTGTGAAATTTAGCCTTAGGCAACAGGAAATACAGTATGGTGTCTCTGTGATTCAATATCAGATAAGGATACAGGAAAACTATTTAAACTACGTCTCCTGTAAGTCCCTCGGTACTGCTGTCTGAGCAGGAAGCGGGTTTATTCATCCATGGCAGTGGAAGACACCAGGATGAGACTGACGTGAAAATTAGATCTGTAATTTGAAAAAAGTAATGTTGGAGGAGTGTCCTCTTGTGGTCTGGGCTATAAACTGCGCTTTATTAAAACAATCCCCTAGATTCTGCAAGATGGACAGAGTGCCGTAACGTACCAGCAGAGACTGAGGTAAGGAGCCAGGAAGTGGTGAATGTGTGAATCAAATGCCTGTTGCTTTGTTGATTAAACAGATTGCTTGGAAATATGTTCCCCCAAACAGTTCCAATCTTATCTCTTCAGAGACATGTGGCTGTACTTTATTTCTTTTGCACTTTCAATAACGAAGGCTTTTTCCTTCGTTAGAACAGTATTTAAAAATACTGCTCTTAAAATTTAAGTCTGTATAAGTTAAGTCCTCTCCTCTACTACTGTTTCTGTTTTTCTGAAATCCTTATCAAAAAAAAAATCTTAAATGGAATATTGCAACCATACATGAAGCCTGTACTTTTAAAAGCAGCGTTGAGAAAACAGATTGGCAGTCACACTAATAAATTTTGAAGAGAGAAGTGCTGCAGCATTTTTCATTTCCTCAGCCTGAACACGTGGACTTACCAAGATACTGCCACTTCTAAATGAAACCTCAGGGGAAGCATTTATGTCTTGGTCTTATGACATTGGTTTTATGTCACTACATATAAAGAATGAGTCATTTTTTGCTATTGAAACTTCATCCTCACAATGTTACTACACTATGAAATTGCACAAAAAAATTGTTAAGATGTGACACAGTTACTACTGTGGTTACCTGTGCTCGGTGGGGGAATTGAGAAAGTTTGGGACTGCAGGGTCATTTGTAGGGTTTGGGGCAGGTGTTATATGGTTGATGAAATTTTGTTCATGTACGACAAATATGATGGAATTATGCATCAACTTCTTCTTACATATAGGAGGAAATAGTTTCTTCTAACTGAAAGTAGAGAACATGGCTTCTCCCTCACCCCCCAAAGAAAAAAAAAAGGTTGTTTCAGAAGAAACAACCAAAGAAGAGCAAAGAAACAAACCCACTTGATTTATACTTTGTTTTGTCTTTAGTTGGGCCTCCCCAGATTTGGGTCCTTGATTCTCAGCAGCGCTGAAAACTGCTGCAGGCACAGTGGGAAGTGGGGAACCACCTGGTTTCCTGCTGAGGACCTGGCCACTTGCGGTGGTGCAACTCCACACCAAGCAAATGGCCTGGGACTTGCGGTGGTGCAACTCCACACCAAGCAAAATGAATAGAATTTACTCTTAGGACTAAAGTTTCCTCAGCGTGGAAAGGCTGTGCTTGGTGGTGGAAAGGGCTGCACCCCCCATTGTATTCCCAAGAGTTGCCCAACATGTCTACAACCTGTCCTCAACCCATGCCCAGCAGCTGCTGTGAAAGCAGTGCTCCTGATGTGAGTGCAGAGAGGGGGAGGCTGTGGGCATGGGATATCATGGTGGACTTAAAAAGGAAGGGTTGCTGAGATTTAAGAATCATTTGTATTTGCACCCTGCAAGTCTTCAGTGGTGGGTTTGTTCTGTGTTTACAAAAGAAGTTTAACACAACTTGAGGTCATGGTTTTCATCACTTGGGAATATTCCCAAGATGGACATCGCTACTGATAGGCCTTGATTTGTTAACAGTTTTTTGTCTTAAACTGTTTCAGAGCCCAGCACCAACTAACAGGAGAGGTCACAGTGCAGTAGTCTACCTTTCCACCATGTGCATCTATGGGGGATACTTTGGCATCCGAGGCATTTCACAGGAGTTCTGGACTTTCCATTTTGGTAAGCTAAAAAGCACGGTAAGCTTTTGATCCAGTGTAAAATGGTGACTGCTGCAGGACAGCATGGCTTGCTCTATTAAGAAAATTTTTATCAGTAGAAATGTTGTAAGTTAGTTTTGGCTTATGTTTGGCTGCAGTTAATTATGAATTCTGTCAATTAAATTAACACCCGGCTGAAATGAATTAGACTGTATTATACTGGAAGAAGTTTTGCAGTATTTGCCAGTTTTAGAGCTGAGAACTGGGGAGAATGTTTTGTTCACCGAGTTCTTCAAGGATTACCAAAACCTTTCAGTAATGCCATCTTTTGAATCTCAAATCTAGAACTGACCATGGGGAGCCAAACCTGACAGGAGATGGTTTCATTAGCATATTCATCACTAATACGGTGGTTGCAAACCAGATGATTCCCAGAGACTTCCTAAATGGAGAGCTTTTGTTATCTGGTGGCCATTCAGTCCCTGTTTTGAAATGAAAGATGGGTTTATCTCATCTCATCCTTCATTCCCTCACAGGGAGAATAAGCAGAGACATTAATGAAGGAATGTTTTTGTTGACTGATTTTCCCTCTTACAGCCAGGAAATTATCTTTCCGTGTCAGAGTTAATGAATTAACAAAGCCGTAGGACTGCTCTGTAAATAAAATTTCCACGGCATCTGTCATACAGCATCTGACATTTTCATTAAAAGTTTATTTGAAAACTGATTTTTCAAATGCACTTTTTCAGTGTCAGAATTTAAGCTGTTAACTTATATTATTGTCAGCTGGGAGCAGAAACCCTTATTCTCCAACAGAATAGTTACTCTGTTGTTGAAATAAATCCCTTCTCAAATGCTAGGGTAAATTTGGTACATCTGTAAGTTAATGTTTTGCTTCCAGATACCAGAAAATGGTTGTGTGTTTCCACCCCATCTCACAACACCGGGCCAGGACCTCGGCACGGCCACTCGGCAGTGGTTTATCATACAGGCATGTACCTCTTTGGAGGACTGATGGGGCTGAGCGAGCAGAAGGACTTATGGAAGTGGGACTTTGTAAGCAGCAGCTGGTCCAACATCAGAACAAGGTAAACTGTATAGCAGTTACACTAAATTAGCACAGAAAGAGAGAATTGGTCTTACCATTTGATGCTGCGTGCAGGCAGAGAGGGAGTTGTTGCCCTTCTGGCCATTGTAGGAACCGTTCAGATCAAGCACTGCTCCATCCCTGGGGCTCCAGTTGGCTTTGCTGGGAAGAGCTGTTGGTGACGCGGTGATGCAGCTGTCAGCAGTGTCATTTTGATGTCCCCGTGCAGCTCTTCAGCAGTCATTCTCGAGTCAAAAGAAAAATAGAGGCTGAAATCAGTGTTAGTTTCTTGTTGGTCTCCCCTTAACTGCTGATTTCTCTTACCTTTAGCCAAGGACCTGCTCCAGTGGTAGGTCACGCTTCAATTGTCTTCAAAGACTCTATGCTGGTTTTTGGTGGAGGGATTTCAAATTCCCATCCTAACGATGACCTCTGGACGTATCATTTCCATACGCAGACATGGAAGAAGCTAAGTACTTCTACAAAGGCAAACTTTTCTCCTAAAATGTATCACTGCATCTTAGGAATTGGTGTTGATTTCCAACCTACCTCAGATCTCACTCATACGTTCCCCAGCCATTGGAAGAGCAGGCAGAAGGACCACCACGCGCTGGTGACCATCCCGAAGCACACTCGCTTGTGCAGCTACTTCCGTCAGCAGCCCGCGTACCGCGCCCTCAGCAACGAGGAGAGCAACGCAATCGAAATGAAAACCTTTAGCTTGCCTCTGCAGCCAGGGGGCTTTTGTGCCTTTCAGACCACTTCGGAGGCAGAACTAGACCCAAAGAGAGCAACGGGCCTTCTGTCAGAGGACAAGCCCCACCGTCTGGTTGTCTCTTCGGAGAGAGAGACTTCTGCTGCTGCTCAGACCGTGGGTGACGAGGAGGGGACCAGCTGTGGGCACGCGATGGTGGCGGATGAAGGTGGCAGCGATGCCAACGTGCTGCTGCTCATCGGGGGTAAACCTTTGTCCAGCTTCTCCGAGATCTCCTTCAGGCAAGTGGAGTTGGAGGCCTTGGGGTCGCTTTGACGGCAAAGCAAAGGTGGCATCAATTCCCACCAAGGTGCCGGTAGGTGACAAACCAACTGCTTGCAGCTGGCGCCAGTTGCCTGTCAGCACACAACAAATGTAAACCTTCTCACACTTGCTGTGAACAGATTTTCCTGAACAAAACCTGACACATATTTAAGTCACAACTTGCACGTAAGTTGCAATTTCTGAGAGGAGCTTGTTGAAATGCTGCTCTTTTTGTTACTTTTTCTCCTGGTCAGTTAATAGCATTTCACATTGCAGCGGCTGATGCTGCCTTGAAAATCAGAACTACAGGTAACCCCTCCTGGCTCCATAACTGCCCAGTCAGCTGCAAAGCTTGCTCATTTTGCACTGGCATAAGAAATAAATGCGCACCCATAAAGCTGCATTTAAATCAAGTTTGCACATGTTACGGTCACATTTGAGGGATTTGATGAATCTTGATCTTTCTAAGATGTTAAAGATTTTGTTTTCTTCAGAGAATGTTCTTTGCACAAGATACTTGCAACGTGACATGGCCTATCACAGTGAAAAAACCCAACAGGCTAATTAGCAAGTGAAGTGTAGAAGACATTCTATGATTGCGTCAAACCCCGAGAAGTGAAATCACGAGTCCCTCCTGAAAGTCCTGTGCAGCAGAGGAAGCACATGACACCTGGGAGGACAGGACAGTTGCCCGGGGAAGGGGAGGTGTAACCTCTGAGCACAGAATCAAAAGGGTTTGACTTTCTATTGGAAAAACAAAGGGGAAGCCTTGACAGGAGCAGCAAGAAACAGGCTGTTCTGCTCGTAACTCGCATTATACTCACAAAGGCATTTCTGCTTTTCCAGCTCCATCTCTTTCTGGTTTGTCAGCCTACATAGTATTGGTTACACATCTCCCCTCTCTACAGTAATTCTGAGTTCCTGTATTGTTTTTCTTTGTTGAAAAGAAAAAGTCTTTTTTTTTTTTTTTTTTTTGAAAGATAATATTGTCCAGTGCTTCAAGCATTTATTTCCATGAGAGTTAGAAGATACTGCCCTTCTGACTGAACTTCAGCTTTCTATAAGGCTGGTGTTTGAAATCAGGGGAAAGTGTGATTTAATACTCCTGAATATTGGAAACTGAATATTTGAAAGTTCTGAAACTTTTCAAAAGTTTCATAGGAATAATTAATCTGAAGTGAAAGTACTTACTTTCATCATCTCTTCACAAGTAGCTGTCACATGAATTTAATAAGAAAATTACAGATGAATTTGCAAAAAGCTACTTAAAGGGTTATTTGGCCCTTGCGTGACCTTCGTTTGGGACCTCAGAGGACTGTCCTTGCTGATGCCACACGAACAAACCCTGCTGCGGTTCTTATCAGCGCGTGCTCATTTTCTGAGCTTTCACAAATTTAAAATACATATTTACATTTCCAAAACGAACAAAGAACTCACCTTTCTGAACAAGGAACACACTTCCCAGGCCCCAGTGATCTCCTGGCACTTCAGCCAGCCTCGAGGGCTGCCCAGGCTTTGAACTTCTCCTCCAGGAGTGGGGAAATCGCCCCCTTAGCGGGGTGTGTTCAGAAGGGACTTTGTGCTGGGCTCGTACGGAGCACTCCGATCTGAAATCAGCAGCAGGTTTCCTTTTGCTGGCTGCCATGTCTGTTCTGGCACTAGCCAGCGAGAGCTGCTGTAACACAGACCTGTATCTAGGCTTGATCAGGGAAGGAAATTTAACTGGAAAGAGCAACAATAGAGCAGTGATTTTCCAAGTCACACGAAGGCCTCCTGGCAGGGACAGGTATCCTGGGGATGTGCAAGAGCCCCAGGAAAATGCCATCCAGCCTCCCCCATTCCTTTCTTCCCCCCCCCCACCCCAAACTCTCTTCCCTTTGGCAGCCCCACGAAGGGTTTAACATTTACTTGGAGCCAACACAGGCAGGACAGGAGCCAGCCCAAAGGCGATGGCTTGGCACGGGGAGGAAAAAGCAGCTTGCAGAAGGTGCCCATCTCCCCCGGTCCCTCCCCTCGCCTGGGCCAGTGTGCCAAGTCAGGTGCCTGCACCAGCACCTCCAGCTCAGCTCCAGCTTCTTCACCTGAGACATCCTAAGCCCCTCGAACCTGCACGATGGTGCAGGGGCCTGGCTGTCCCCAGCCCTGTGCTCAGGAGCTCGGGAGGGGCTGTGGCTGCAGAGGGGGGCTCAGGGCTCACTTGGGGAGGCTGAGCAACAGCTGAGCCCCGGGTAATAGCACAGAAGGGAAGGGAGCTCCAGTCCTGGAAGTGGGACCGTCCACCACAGCAGACTCACTGCTGCCATTGGGGCTGTTTCTCCCCTTGGTGGCCCATTACCAGGTTTTAGTAAACAAGGGTGAGCTCCAGCTGGAAGGGACAGGGTCTGAGATGTAAAGCCACTGCAGCCTGGCACCCCGGTCCCTCTGGGCAGGTAGGAGCCTATTTCAGGTACCCCAGACCGAGGCACACCATCCTTGCTCCTTCCACCATATCACATTTCCTGGGACATCTTCCCTTCCGAAACTCCACCAGTGCCATCCACTACACTTAGTGGGGTCCTTGGAGCACCTCAGGTGGTTTCACTCCTGCTTTCCTGGTGCATTTTTGTCCAACGCAGTCACCTTTTCCCAGAGGGAGAGAAGAGCCTTTGTGGAGGTGGTGATGATATTTCTCCATAATCGTAGCAGTTAATGAGAATTCATCCCGGGCCCGAGTGAGTGACTAAAAGCTGCCGCCATCTGAAAGCTCTGTGGTGGCCTGCATGAAATAATGAATGGAATTACTCCAGCTAATGGCAACTATTTAGAAACAAAACAAAAGACATCATTTTTGGCCAGGCACAGACTTGAAGGGCTGCTGCTGCCGCTACCTGGTTTAAAATGCCTCTGAACAAAAAGGAAGCTTGTGCTGCATTTGATGTTCCCCCCGTCTCATCCAGTCCATAGAATAAAAGCAAAAGGACACAACCTTCTTTTGTCATCTCACCTGAGACACGAGATGCACCGCTGTGTCACAGAGCATTCATACAGACAGCAAGTCTATCAGCCTCTCTCAACAAACTGTCTTTAATCACCACTCAGCTTCTGAACATTGAAATGCACGAATGGCAGCAGAATTTTCTTTTAAAATGTAAACATGCAAAGAGGTTTTTTTAAAAAAATAATAAAAAAATCTAAACCAAACGTCTTTCATTGTTTTGAGTGAATAATTCAGTGACTTATCAGTGGGATCGTAGTTTGACCTACACAACAAATTATGCCACAAGGGAAATTACTTTCTATGAGCTTAGTCATTAGGAAGGAATTCTTTCACTCCCTTTTGATACTTTCCCAAGTTTATTAATTGTTGAGAAATGAAGACGATCAAATGGTTTGTTTGCCCTTTGCTGCCGCCTTAAGCATTTCACCAGTCAGGGGTTGGAAATTAACAGCTCCCATTAACAGCCATGAGCACCCTGTACTTTAAAGCAGAAACCAGCCCCGCACTGGAAACAGCAGGGAGATCGCTCCACTCACCTGCACGCACTTTTCTCTGAATGCTGTGAAATAACACTTGAAGTTCCAGGTTCCTTTCTGAGCACGCTCCTCAGTGCTGTGATTTTCAAAACCACTGAGCGCTTGACAGTCCTCCTCCTGGACAACCTCAGCTCTTCTGGAAAGGAGGCATTTAATTCTGGAGCATCTCTCTGCAAGCGTAGATGCCATCTTCAGTTGTGCTTTAGCTGACAACAAATAAAGTTTACAACACGGCCTGCCCTTCTGACATCCCAAATAAGTTTACGACTCTCTCTCCAACCCAGGTACCCTTCTCTTAACTTAGAAGCTGCCAAGTGGCCTTAGCCCAGAGACAGAAGCACGGTCCTGCGGAGGGTGAAGGTGCAGCCCTAGAGACCCCCCCAGCCGAGGACGGTGAGTGCCCAGCAGCAGAGCCAGCCTCTGCCATGCAACTTTGCCTTTGATTTCAGGGGTGCAGTAGCCCCCGCACCCCAAACTGCACAGCCCCACGTCCCAACCAACCCACCCGCCTTCTGCCACACCAGCCCCACTTAAAGATGACTCTGGGAGACTTTTGCACTGAGGTGGTATATTCGAGACAACACTACAGTATAAACATTCCAAGGTGGGTAGAGAGGACTAACAAATCACAGCTTCTCGTTCCCGTACAGAGCTCAGTGCGGCGCCTACAGCAGTTCATACATCACTACTCTTGTGAAACAGAAGCAAGAGGGTGACACTTTTGTTTTATAAAAAACAACAACAAATAAATTATACATTGAGAGCTATTGCCAAGCTTTACATATAAAAGGTAAAAATACAGTAGTTAGTGTGGCTTTAACAAAAAAAAAATATTCTAGCTAAAAAAATAAGTCTTATGTACTTTAAAAATACATTTGTCCAGTTACAGGTGTGTGCGGGGCGTGTGTGTTCATGAAGCAGAGTGCTCGAGCCAGACACTACAAAGAAGGTGAATTTTGCAGAACACCCTGCAGCTCCTGCTGGGCAGGGGGGAGCACCCACCCCCATTTCCAGCGGGCGCAGGACAGGGCAGCACTTTGTGGGGTGACACCAGCTCCACCCCGGCTCGAGCGTGGGGTGGGAGGACTCTCTACTAATGTCTACGGTGCCAACACTCAGACCAAACACACACAGATTACACCTGCCTCGCTGAAAGGCCATTAGCATGGATTATTTTCATTTTTTGGTATAAAAAGTTATGATTGTCCAGCAGCATCTGCAAGCTGTGACGTTACCGTGCCTAACAGCTATATCAGTTTCTAGACTACAACTTTCTAGACTAACAAACACTCTACGTGCCCAGAGAGAGTTTTAAATGCTGGCTGGCCGGGAAATAGAGCTGCTAACACTTCATCTGTAGGAGATGTGGCTTGTACCAGAATAACAACGTGAAAAATACACCCAGTGCTGTCTGTGAAGGACACACGGATCTCAACAGCACACCTTTGCTTCAGGAATGGGGAAGGAGTGAGGTGTGGGCACGGGGGTAACAGCCAGGGGCTGAACACGGCGTGTGGGGAGAGACCCAAACACAACTGACTGCTCACCCGAGCTCCTCCTCCGGGGCTGCAGGTCTTCTTGCCAAAGTTGTGTCCAATGCATTGTCCAAAACACAGCTTTTACACTCTCTGGCCTCCCCAAAGTACAGGTGGAATAAGTTTAAAATTCAATACATTCAAGCTAACTCATTAACCAGGACTGATTACCAGGTAAAAAAACCTGCTCAGAACCACTGAAGTCCATTTACCAGCACTTGGGTCGTGCAGCCTCTGGGCTCTTCCTCTTGGACTCAACGGGCGAGACCAAAACCCGGTTCTGAGATCCAGCATCTCCCCAAAATCAAGCACTTTGAGATACAGGTTTGGTTTTTCCCATTATTATAAATGTTAAGATTTCTATAAAATCTTTTACTCCAATCACTTACGAAGTGTGACTGGCGTATAATCACTTTTACTTCTTATGTTTTTAGTTTAAGCTATTAGTTATAGAGTTAAAAAAAGTATCCATCTCTGATCAGCACTACATGCACACACAGCAAAAGGGTCCAAGGCCAGTTAATGAGAACAGGCTGGGACAGGCACTAGTAAGTCAATAGGGGATAACTTTGTTGGGGAAAAAAAAGAAAAAAAAAAGGACTTTTTTTGGTTTGTTTTAGAGCAGGGAGCTGGCTTTTTCCAAATGACTGCAACAGAAGATGCACTTACTCATCCCTGTCAACTCCGAAAGCTGTGGGGTGGCAGGCAGACCAGCCAACATCCCCACACCAGAGTCATACAAAAGTATGATTTATAAATCTCTTAAAATAAATATCAAAAAAACCCTTTTAGAGGCTGATTGGGCTGTGTAGCCAATCAATCAATCAATAGCACAGCAACGGTAAGAATCTGTGTAGCCAATCAATCAATAGCACAGCAACGGTAAGAAAATCCCTTTTTCTCCGTGTCACACAGGCATTAATTCTTTATAACACCCAACTGTAGGAACTATTAAACCTACCTGTGATGAGTAACACTCGGGTACCTGTTTGCCAGTCACAATGTGACACGATACCTGCAGTTTTAAAGCAAACCAGTGATGGCAAACTACAGGGTGCTCAGACACCCACCTGTGTATCTGTTCAGAGCATGGAACTGCGGTGCCGTAGTCTCACCAGGCTCCCTGGGTGAGCAATTAGTTGGATTAGCTAAATAAGCTACCTTGGGTTGAATGGAGTGAGTATTTGCTCCAAGAATTAAAAGTCAGGGGCAAGAGTTGGGTTTGCAGCCCCAAATCGACTGGAAATTGCAAGTCCCCAATGTAACAGTTGAAGATTTTGAAATTTTAGATAAATTTTCAAGTATTGGTCCTCTGAAAAGGAGGAGGTTGAGGAAGACCTTGCCCCTTGAAATTTTTGTATGTGTGTAAATACAGCATTCCCCTCCCATCACCCCTATCCCGACCACGCTTGGCTACTTGGAACCATTTAGGTTTTGGGGGGATGCAGTCACTATGAAAGTTATTGACTTGTTGTTCCCTTTATGTGATCGCTGGGGAGGAACCTACGGATGGTGCTCAACACACAATGCCGGAAAACCATCAACTCCTGTTCTCCTGCTGTTGGGAGAGATTCAAGCGGGCAGATCACAGAGCTCCCCAGCCCAATGGGAAGAGTTGCATCTTTTCCTGCAGGAGCTTTGCTGGCAACTGCATTGTTAGCCCAGGCTGAGACATTTGATACTTGAATTGGGAACCGTCTACATTTTAATACACAATAAGGCTCAGACCTAAAATAATACATAGCTTTGCCTCCTGGTTCTGGAGGCAATGGCTGCACGCCACTGTCTGCAGAGTCGCTGTGGTACCCGGGTCCTGCGAGCTCCCCGTGGTTCCTGTGTGTCTCTAATTAAGGCCTCGGGGGTTGGGGAGTGGCAGTGGGCCATGTAAATGCCACGTGGCTTCTTCCTGGATGCTCTCCGTCAGCATCTCACAAAGAGGAGCACCAGAGCAGCAGTAAGAACGCCCAGGTCCGACAGAAGCCGCCCAGAGCCAGGCACCAGCTGCCCTGCACGACCCCCCGTGCTTTGGTCCAAATCTCTGTCTACACCGAGGGCCGTGCAGGCAGCCGGGGGGCAGAAACGCAGTGGTGCATACAGGTTTCAGAACCAACTTTTCACATTTAAAATCATTTCCAAGAACCACATGTACATAAATATTTATAAACAGCAGCACTGTACAGAAAGCATCCTCCAGCCCCAGTCGTATGTACAAACCTCTCCCTAAGAAAGAATGATCCCAGCTGTTTCATCTGTGCTTTCCCGCTAGGAGATGTGGAATTCATCATCAGCTTCTGTATCTATCCTCCCTCTGACTGCACTCTGACCTTTTTTGCAGGCTGTATCCCGGGATCCATGTCCTCACCTCTGCGTGGCCACCTGAGGATCCTGCTGCCCAGGACTCAAATGATCTCTGCCATATCCTGAACTTCACCTGAGCACCAAAAGGCCTTCACCAGCTCTGTGGAGCGTGCTCTTCCAAGTGCTCCCACCTTCCTTCTACAAAGAACTGAACTGCTTACAGGAACTTTTCATCTTTTTTTTCCTGTTTTCCCCTTATTCTTTCTATTTTGTTCCACATGCAGCTATTAGATGACACTTGGAACAGGATTTGAGATGTTTTCCCCTTACTCTTTCTATTCTTTGTTCCACATACAACTATTAGATGACACTTGGAACAGGATTTGAGGTGGTGTTAAGCACTGATCTAGTTGTGCCCTCGTGCCGCTAATCTACCTGGTAAGTACTCCCAAAGCACAGCACCTGGAAACAACACCCAGAAACAGCAGGAATAGAAACAAGAAAAATATTTTTCTCCTTAGCCTTGTATGAGAACAAAACTAACCAACAAGCAGTTCCTGAAGCGAGCTGTACTTTACCTTCAGCATTGAAAACATACCTATCTCCAGCCTAAAACGTGTGTATTTGACTCATATAGGAAATGAAACAACCAGTGTCAAAATGTGGGACCTCTGCTGTGGTCTGCTAGTGAGAGAAGATGTTTGGCAGGTTAATTTTCCTTTCCCTGGTTGCAAGGAGCAGCTCAAATCCAGTCAACGTAGTTGGTGACTGAAGGACTAGATTTTCATTCTTCCCGGGTACTGTAACAAGAGGTGCAAGGAACATTACGGGGGTTAAGGCCAAAAAGGAGAGGGAGTAAATCACACAGAAGCAAGTGTCCTTGGCCGTATGAAAGTCATCGCTACTGTGAGCCACCGGGCATGGAGTGACCACAAGGTGGCCCCACAAGTTCTCCTCATCTTTCCAGTATGACTAAGAGGCCAGGGACACCGAGCTGGCAGCTACACACCCACATCACAGTGAACGCTCTCCAGTGACACACAGGGTAAGACAGACTAAACCTAGTGTGAGAGGGACACAACCAGACTGTTCCTCACGGTCAGAACTAGCTCCAGTGTGGTACTTCACTTCTCCTGAGGCAGAAGATCAAACGTGCATGTGGTTTTATATCCCGGTTTCGACTGTAATTCCAGTTAGATTGCAATAAATGTAGAAGTCTCTTCCTGGATCCAGCTGGCTGTTTGACTCCTGTTCAGCAAGAGTTTGGTCCCAAGGAAGTCTCTCAGAAGGGTGCCTTAGGGATGTGTTAGAAGATTAGAGTTTTTACAAGGTGGGAAGTGCAGAAACTCCTTCTTCTAGAGTTCGGTGGTGAGTAAACATTTTGTTCTTATTGTAGCATCCTCAGTGACTGGGCTAAAAGGGGGGGAAAAAAAAAAAAGAGGTCCTGTAACTACACTCCTCCAAAAAGATCTGCCATGTAAAAAGGAAAAGGTGAGTGTTGTCCCCAAGACTGTTAATAGCTGTTCCCCTCATAATTCAGTGAGACCAACGGACAACCCCCAGAAGAGCAACCTGGATCAGCTTCACACAGTGCAGTAGTGCCATCGTTGCCATCCGCACCGTAAGAGGGTCACTGACAGACCTGGCCATGGCTGCCATCACTGCCTCGCCAGCGCGGCACAACGGAATAGAAGGGGAAAAGTTTCCACAGATTCTCTCCTCGGACTTCCTTACAGCTTGGAAAGACCTGGGGGACATTTCTCTCTCTCCCTCCCAAACCCTCTGGCAGGTGCCAGAAGTGATTTCTCAGATAATTAACCTGTACCATAATTTTAGTCCAGTACTAAGAGGTGTTAGTAGTTAAGGAAAGAACCTGAAGTTAAATGATAATTAAAAAGAATTAATCGATTTTATAGCACTTATAATGACAACATGTTTACCTCCAACTCCAGCTAAACGTGTACGCTTTGTTCCTTGATTTACTTGGATTAAAAAAGATGTTTTCTTACCCTTCAAACAATGTGACATAAAAACAGACACACACCAGCTGCTCTATTTATTTATAAGATTGCAAACGCTCAGAGACAAACTGTCATCTATAAGCACAGCAAACCAGGCACTGTGTCTAAATGACCACTGTCACTATTGAAGCAGCAGTGACCAGAGCTCCTACCTCCTTTCCCACCCCACACACGCTTCTGAAGGGGGAGCTGAGGAGACCTTACCTGGGAAGGACGTCGGGTGTCTGCTGGGACGGTGGCAACCCAGGTGACAACAGGAGGGTGTCCCCGCTGCCTTTCACTGCCTTCAGAGCTAAGGCTGCGTCACCTCCCAACGGCCCGTTGGGAATCGGTCCCGTCTGCATTGGGGAGAATCAAACAGGAAACTGAACTAAAAACCTGCCAGGACAAGATGAGCTCATTCTGCAGTATGGTTCACTTACAGCTGTAAAAACTGAGATTCATCGAGTTCCAGGGAGGGCTGCACTAAATGCAAGTTCTTAAATAAAACTTTACGGCATTTACCTGAATGTAACACAGCAAAAATGAAGTTTAAATATTAACAGGATATGTATGTTGTTTGATTTACTCCAGCTGAATCACTCTGCTGGTATGGGCTTCCAAATCATTACAAATTATTGTATTTTACTTTTTTACTTGAGCTTCTGTTTCTTAATCATGACAAAAACTTTCTTTTTTGTTGTTAAGGAATAATCAAATAACTCACTGGCACTATCCACCTCGGCATTATGGTGGGCTGGGAAGACACCTACAAGAAGCAAACAAACGCTCGTTAGAGAAGGCTGGAAGTAGCTGAGAACATTCTCAAAACACTGTTGCCTCCCAGACCAGTACTGCCTCCCCAAACCACCTGGGGTGTTTGTCCATCCCTTCCAAAAGGCAACTAAAAGTTTACTTTTCAAGTATTTATATACGTATACACACACATATATATGTCTGTGTGTATATATATACATTTATATTAATTTCTGAAGTAGTATACATTCCAAAAGCCCGAGAAGCAGGCTGGCCCTTGCAGGCACACTAAAATAAGGCTACAGGCTCTTGAGGCACAGATACAAGTTAATCATCAGGTTCCTCCACTTCTGTGACAGAGCTGTAGGTGTCACCCCTCAGCCAGTCCCCCGAAGGCAGGGGCACACACACACTGCTCCAGGTCCATCACCGCTTCGCTCTGCTGCAGCAGATCCAGCCCGTGAGGAGAGCTCCTGAGTGAAAACCACTCTATGTGTGAAGGAAGAAGTTTGGTTTTGAAATACATTTACCCGAGGTGTGGCTTCTGTAAAGTCAATTAGATTCTCTGTCAATGGTGTTAAGGAAACGTCCTGGTCATCTGGAGCGCTCTATGGAATAAATCAGTTTTGAATTGAATTCCCAGTAGTAACCAGATAGGTCTGATGAATATTCTAGTGGCTTCCCAAGTTATAGACCAGTGTCACAGAATAACAGAATGATATGGGGTTGGAAGGGACCTCTGGAGATCATCCAGTCCAACCCCCTGCCAAAGCAGGTCCACCCACAGCAGGTTGCACAGGAACATGTCCAGGCGGGTTTTGAATGTCTCCAGAGGAGACTTCACCACCTCTCTGGGCAGCCTGTTCCAGTGCTCTGCCACCCTCACAGGGAAGAAGTTCCTCCTCATCTTTAGATGGAACTTCTTATGTTCAAGCTTGTGCCTATTTCCTCTTGTCCTTAACGAACACCACTGTTTATCAGGTCTGTTTTCTCAAATCTTTCCATAAGGTCTTTTTTAATAGCCTTTTCATTTAACTTATCAGCATACTGTCATTGCAGTGTAAGCTGTGAAGCTGTCCCATTCTTCGATGTGAAGATGGGGTACTGTGCACCCAACAAGGTCAGCGAGGTCTGCGAGCTGAGTATCTGAACTCAGAAGATGAAACTGGTGGGGTCAACTACATAATACTGGTTTGGAGGGACAACAGCTAAAGGGCACGAGGCCTTAGTGATGCAGAATAACCCCTCAGCCTGCTGACGTAACAGCAGAGTCCAGTGTTGGGCTCCTCTTTTCTTCTGGAAAGAGACAAAGGCAAGTTGACCCCTGAATTACTATGTGTGTTTCATGAAGTCCAGTTAAAAATTACCTTAAGGTAACCAGAATAAAACAATTAAACATTTCAATTTAAACTCTTCTCTCTGTGGTTACTCTGACGGGAATTGCCTATGGCAGAATTCCATCCCTGCAGTCTCTTTCCTGGAGCATCAAATCACCAGCGTCAGGAAAACGATCAGAAAAATAAATCTCAGGCAAAGCAGCTGAAAGGACACTCAGAAATGGCCTCTGGTGAGATCTGTACAGTGTCCCTGTCTGCTCCAGAAAGCACTCTCTGGCATTCCCCAGCGGCTGGTATTCACTGAGTTATGAGAGGCACGCAGCACGGTCTGCTCTGCTTGCCTGGAGGCATCAGGAGCTCAGAAGGTGACACACAGAAACCTTCCAGGCTGGCAGGTGGTGATACCTTTGAAACAGCCGCCTCCTCGGCCGGAGCCAGATGAGCTGGAATCAGCAGGTCCTCGTGGGTAGAGGCAGCGCTGTCCTCAGTTAACGCGTTACTGAAAGGAGAAAACATTCATCAGCACCAGCACGGAACAGGGCTGCTCCCCCGACAGCTCAACCACTACCAGCAGCTTAATCATGACAAAAACTTTCTTTTTTGTTGTTAAGGAATAATCAAATAACTCACTGGCACTATCCACCTCGGCATTATGGTGGGCTGGGAAGACACCTACAAGAAGCAAACAAACGCTCGTTAGAGAAGGCTGGAAGTAGCTGAGAACATTCTCAAAACACTGTTGCCTCCCAGACCAGTACTGCCTCCCCAAACCACCTGGGGTGTTTGTCCATCCCTTCCAAAAGGCAACTAAAAGTTTACTTTTCAAGTATTTATATACGTATACACACACATATATATGTCTGTGTGTATATATATACATTTATATTAATTTCTGAAGTAGTATACATTCCAAAAGCCCGAGAAGCAGGCTGGCCCTTGCAGCACATTTACATATAATTTCTGAGGTAGTGAATATTCCCAAAAAGCCCGAGAAGCAGGCTGGCCCTTGCAGGCACACTAAAATAAGGCTACAGGCTCTTGGGGCACAGATACAAATTAATCTTCAGGTTCCTCCACTTCTGTGACAAAGCTGTAGGTGTCACCCCTCAGCCAGTCCCCCGAAGGCAGGGGCACACACACACTGCTCCAGGTCCATCACCGCTTCGCTCTGCTGCAGCAGATCCAGCCCGTGAGGAGAGCTCCTGAGTGAAAACCACTCTATGTGTGAAGGAAGAAGTTTGGTTTTGAAATACATTTACCCGAGGTGTGGCTTCTGTAAAGTCAATTAGATTCTCTGTCAATGGTGTTAAGGAAACGTCCTGGTCATCTGGAGCGCTCTATGGAATAAATCAGTTTTGAATTGAATTCCCAGTAGTAACCAGATAGGTCTGATGAATATTCTAGTGGCTTCCCAAGTTATAGACCAGTGTCACAGAATCACAGAATGATATGGGGTTGGAAGGGACCTCTGGAGATCATCCAGTCCAACCCCCTGCCAAAGCAGGTCCACCCA